ACTGGACTGAAACCTGGTTTTATTCTCTCGATAAAAGACACAAACAAAGAGCATAAGTGTGGCCAGGTCTTACCATACCATTGTACTAATTCAATTTCGGTGTGGATTTGCTCCATTGACTTCGTTGACAGGTGGGAGGGTTCAACTCCTTTTGCAGATTGAAACGATTGGATCTGAGTTTACTGTGACGCTTACTGTAGCATTTAGCCTAGCTTTAGCATTTAGCCTAGCTTTAGCCCGTGGGGAGTAGAGCCACAACATCTTTGCAGCAATGACATTTCCTAAACATTCCTCTTGCTCCGGCTTCAGTTTCTTGATATTTGGATTGAACCACAACAGATTATTTTACTATTGCATTCTCTGACAAACTACAACCAGCATATTTAGCACAAACTCTTGACGTCATCGACACCGACCTAAAACACCCGCCTCCTCTGCTCTCTGATTGGTTGGAGGGGATTCAACCGAGGAAACTGCAGCCACTAGGATCAGACCCAGACAAACATGTAGGAAATGATCATTGATAACATTGGATAACATCATCCAGAGTTTCTCACTGGTCTCTCTCAGGTCTCTCTCTGGTCTCTCTCAGGTCTCTCTCTGGTCTCTCTCGGGTCTCTCTCAGGTCTCTCTCTGGTCTTTCTCTGGTCTCTCTCAGGTCTCTCTCAGGTCTCTCTCAGGTCTCTCTCAGGTCTCTCTCTGGTCTTTCTCTGGTCTCTCTCAGGTCTCTCTCTGGTCTTTCTCTGGTCTCTCTCAGGTCTCTCTCAGGTCTCTCTCAGGTCTCTCTCTGGTCTTTCTCTGGTCTCTCTCAGGTCTCTCTCAGGTCTCTCTCAGGTCTCTCTCAGGTCTCTCTCTGGTCTTTCTCTGGTCTCTCTCGGGTCTCTCTCTGGTCTTTCTCTGGTCTCTCTCAGGTCTCTCTCAGGTCTCTCTCAGGTCTCTCTCTGGTCTTTCTCTGGTCTCTCTCAAGTCTCTCTCTGGCCTCCCTCTACATCAGTTGTGTATTGTAACACTTTTCTTCTGCTGTCTCTCTGTGGAACGAGCTCCTGAGAGGTTGTCTGTGGATTTGAGCAGCTGTGGAAACATCTGAGGCGTCTGCGGCAGCGTTTTAATTAGACGAGATGTGGTCATGAAAGAAACATGAGCGAGAGCAGGTGCCGGCGAGAAACACACACGGAAACAGCTAAAAATAACAGCCACAAGAGGCTTTCAGACCATCACACCTTCAGAGAGAGGAGCGAGACCAGGAGAGAGAGAGAGAGAGGAGCGAGACCAGGAGAGAGAGAGAGAGAGGAGCGAGACCAGGAGAGAGAGAGAGAGAGAGAGAGAGGAGTGAGACCAGGAGAGAGAGAGAGAGAGAGAGAGAGGAGTGAGACCAGGAGAGAGAGAGAGAGAGGAGCGAGACCAGGAGAGAGAGAGAGAGAGAGAGAGGAGTGAGACCAGGAGAGAGAGAGAGAGAGAGAGAGTGGAGTGAGACCAGGAGAGAGAGAGAGAGAGGAGCGAGACCAGGAGAGAGAGAGAGAGAGAGACCAAGAGAGAGAGAGAGAGAGAGGAGTGAGACCAGGAGAGAGAGAGAGAGAGGAGTGAGACCAGGAGAGAGAGAAAGAGAGAGAGAGAGGAGTGAGACCAGGAGAGAGAGAGAGAGAGGAGTGAGACCAGGAGAGAGAGAGAGAGAGAGAGAGAGGAGTGAGACCAGGAGAGAGAGAGAGAGAGAGAGGAGTGAGACCAGGAGAGAGAGAGAGAGAGAGAGAGGAGTGAGACCAGGAGAGAGAGAGAGAGAGAGACCAAGAGAGAGAGAGAGAGAGAGGAGTGAGACCAGGAGAGAGAGAGAGAGAGAGAGGAGCAAGACCAGGGAGAGAGAGAGAGAGGAGTGAGACCACCTGCTTTAGTCCTGCTTTAGTCCTGCTTTATTCCTACTTTAGTCCTGCTTTAGTCCTGCTTTCCTTGGCTGTCTTGAACATAGATCCAGAATAATATTATTGTGTTTGTGGTCGTAAACAAGACAAAACATGCAAAGTTCAAGCTGTGTTTGTTCTTTGAGTGTAATGATGTTGTGTTGTCGTCTCCTTCCTCTCCCTCCTCTCCCTCCTCTCCCCCCTCTCCCCCCTCTCCCTCGTCTCCCTCCTCTCCCTCCTCTCCCTCTTCTCCCTCTTCTCCCTCTTCTCCCTCCTCTCCCCCCTCTCCCTCCTCTCCCTCCTCTCCCTCCTCTCCCTCCTCTCCCCCCTCTCCCTCGTCTCCCTCGTCTCCCTCCTCTCCCTCCTCTCCCCCCTCTCCCTCGTCTCCCTCCTCTCCCTCCTCTCCCTCTTCTCCCTCTTCTCCCTCCTCTCCCTCCTCTCCCCCCCTCTCCCTCCTCTCCCTCCTCTCCCTCCTCTCCCTCCTCTCCCTCCTCTCCCCCCTCTCCCTCCTCTCCCTCCTCTCCCTCCTCTCCCTCCTCTCCCTCCTCTCCCTCTTCTCCCTCTTCTCCCTCCTCTCCCTCCTCTCCCCCCTCTCCCTCCTCTCCGTCCTCTCCCCCCTCTCCCTCGTCTCTTGCTGATCCTCCAGAGCTTCGTCGACACATGTTTCTTGTTTTTAATTAAGAGTTCTCTCTGTGGACTTGAGCCCGGTGTCTCCGAGCTCCTCTTTGTCACGTCGAGTTTGAGGAAACAAAACAGCAGTATACTGTTCCTGCAGAAGCTACAGCAGGAGAGCTGTCACTGCTGCTTTAGCCACAGCTGCCCTGGGTCATACTGATGTGAGGCCTGCCCATCATCACATTCATTCACTCTTCACAGCCACACTGACATTCTGCTCTGGAGCAGGCCAGATCAGGTTTAGACCATGGTTTTTAGATGACCATGTCTTGGTAGATTTGCAGTGTTCTAAGTTCCAACAAACTCAGGCACGGGACGGCAAAGTGGCTGGGTGGATAGCACGCTCGCTTCTCAACAAGAAGGTCCTGGGTTTGAATCCCGGTCGGAACAGGGCCTTTCGGAGTGGAGTTTGCATGTTCTCCCCGTGCCTGCGTAGGGTTCCTCCGGGTGCTCCGGTCTCCCCTACCACTAAAAACATGCACACTAGGTAAAATCCTCCAGCTCCGGTAGTCTTGACCAAGCCGAGTATCAACATCTGGAGATGGGTTCCCGGGCGCTGTTACTACGGTGACTAGTGCTTTTGGCATCAGGATGCATTTGACCCATCCTGATAACACTTACGTCCCATAAGCCTCAGTGGCATCAGGATGGGTCAAATGCAGAGGATGAATTTCCCTATAGGGATTCATAAAAGTGCACCACCAAACTCAGTCTCTGCTTCAGTTTATGCCTCAGTCTCTGCTTCAGTCTCTGCTTCAGTCTCTGCTTCAGTCTCTGCCTCAGTCTCTGCTTCAGTCTCTGCTTCAGTCTCTGCCTCAGTCTCTGCCTCAGTCTCTGCTTCAGTCTCTGCTTCAGTCTCTGCCTCAGTCTCTGCTTCAGTCTCTGCTTCAGTCTCTGCCTCAGTCTCTGCTTCAGTCTCTGCCTCAGTCGCTGCTTCAGTTTATGCCTCAGTCTCTGCCTCAGTCTCTGCTTCAGTCTCTGCTTCAGTCTCTGCTTCAGTCTCTGCCTCAGTCTCTGCCTCAGTCTCTGCTTCAGTCTCTGCCTCAGTCTCTGCTTCAGTCTCTGCTTCAGTCTCTGCCTCAGTCTCTGCTTCAGTCTCTGCTTCAGTCTCTGCCTCAGTCTCTGCCTCAGTCTCTGCTTCAGTCTCTGCTTCAGTCTCTGCCTCAGTCTCTGCTTCAGTCTCTGCCTCAGTCTCTGCTTCAGTCTCTGCTTCAGTCTCTGCCTCAGTCTCTGCTTCAGTCTCTGCCTCAGTCTCTGCTTCAGTCTCTGCTTCAGTCTCTGCTTCAGTCTCTGCTTCAGTCTCTGCTTCAGTCTCTGCTTCAGTCTCTGCCTCAGTCTCTGCTTCAGTCTCTGCTTCAGTCTCTGCTTCAGTCTCTGCCTCAGTCTCTGCTTCAGTCTCTGCCTCAGGCTCTGCCTCAGTCTCTGCCTCAGTCTCTGCTTCAGTCTCTGCTTCAGTCTTTATTATACTGTCAGAGAAAGTCCTGTTCACACAAATGTTTCCAATTAATTTCCCTTTGATCTTAAAACAAACACGTCTTGCGAAACTGTGATCATCTGGATCGTTTAATTTCCTCATTACTCTTTGATCTGAATTATTAAAGATCTATTTCTGTTTTAAAACTTTTGAAACTTTAATTACTTCAAGGTGTTTTCTGCTGCTGTTCCCTGTGGACAGACACACACAGACACACACAGACACACACACACACACACACACATACACACACACACACACACACACACATACACAGACACACACACAGAGAGAGAGAGAGCGAGACACACATATAAAATATACACACAACAATGTGATAGAAGAGTGTGCTTTCTGATTTGTGTATTCAGGTGTGTTTGTGGATAATGACATGGTTTTGCTGAGACCCAGAGACTCTTGGGACTAGTTTGAGTCCATGAATCCGATCTGGTCCCAGGGGAGACCTGGTCCAAGTTAGTCCTGATTATTAGATCTGCAACATGTGTCGACTTGATCTGCTCCCAAAGGACTCTGTGGTTCCCATCATTACTGGCTCTGATTAGGTCCTGCTTTAGCCCTGCTTTAGCCCTGCTTTAGCCCTGCTTTAGCCCTGCTTTAGTACTGCTTTAGTCCTGCTTTAGTCCTGCTTTAGTCCTGCTTTAGTCCTGCTTTAGACCTGCTTTAGACCTGCTTTAGACCTGCTTTAGACCTGCTTTAGTCCTGCTTAAGTCCCGCTTTAGTCCTGCTTTAGTCCTGCTTTAGACTTTAGACCTGATTTAGACCTGAACTAGATCTTCTTTAGTCCTGATTTAGACCTGAACTAGACCTGCTTGAGACCTGCTTCTGTCCTGCATTAGTCCTGTTTTAGACCTGTTTTAGACCTATTTTAGACCTGATCTGTCTTTCCATGACAATATATTTGCATGTTCTGTGCTTGGTTTAGGCTGTGTGTCTGCTCCATGCTCCATTGTTCAAAGTGTGATCCCCGCACCCCTCCTCCCCCCTCTCCCCCCTCTCCCCCCTCTCCCCCCTCTCCCCCCTCTCCCTCCTCTCCCTCCTCTCCTCCCCCCTCTCCCCCCTCTCCCTCCTCTCCTCTCCCTCCCCTCCTCCTGGTGGTTGGAGGTCGGTGAAATAATTGGCGCTGCTCTGTCGTTGTTACGAGTTTGTTTTGTAAAAGGGGAACAAACTGCAGCGATGTTTATTTACAACAAGAGAGAGAAACAACAAACAAGAGGAGGAGGAGAGAGACAGGATGGAGATGGAGAGAGAGGGGAGAGGAGGGGAGAGAGGAGAGAAGAGAGGAGGAGGGAAGAGGAGGTGGAGAGAGACAGAGGCGAAAGAAGAGAGAGGACGAGGAGGAGAGGAGCGGATGTGATAGAGTCCAGAAAACATGTATGTTGGTTCTCTGTCACAAACTCTAGATTTTGCCTCAGCCAATCAGCTCTCAGCCCACAGAGTCAGATAGTGACTCACAAGGTGGGATCAGGCATAAACAGCTAAAACGTTATGAGACATGTTTGCTTCCTGTTCCTTTTTTAGAGAGGAATAATGGTGTCAGCTCCAAATGTCAGCACGCGATGCAGATGAGTGGAGATAATGGATTATGATGCGGCAAGACGCGGCAAGACGCGGCAGGACGCGTCAGGACGCGGCAGGACGCGGCAGGACGCGCGTTGCGGGCTCAAGGCCCTTTCTCACCCCTGTCCTGTCCTCGGGTCTGATTGACCAACAACAGTGATTAAAAAAAACTCTATTAATGTTCTCCTAACTTGACCCTGTGTTATTTAGACCTTTTAAGACTCTAATTTAATCACTGTGGCGGGAAATACTAGGCTTAAAATAGCTACTTTTGACTAGATTTTTTTATTTATTTTTTGTAAAATAAAATATAATAATAATAACTATAAAAACAATAATTATTATATTAGTAATATAAGAAATTAAAACATGAAACATTTGGAATAGATAAAATCACTCAGGTTGTTAAAAAGTTAAAAAGTTTAAAAATATAGTCTCTTTTGTTCTTTTGTACAAGATATTTTATGTACGACATAAAATTTAAAGTAACTAGCAGTGCAAACAATATTCAGTCCTATGTGCAGGTTATTAAAGTGACCTAATGTTCAGTCTGACAGCAGTGGGGATAAACGCCCTGCGGTAGGAGATCCTAAAAATAATAATATTGATATCAATATTATATATATATATATTTATTCCAGAATTCTGCATTTAGAACAGCTTCACATTAGAGGATAAAGCAAATAAGGCAACGCTCTCTCTCTCTCTCTCACACACACACACTCTCTCACACACACACACTCTCGTGCGTGCGTGCGTGTGTGTGTGTGCGTGGTGACAGTTGGAGCGAGCACAAAGACGTTTAAAATGTTGAAAGAAACGAGAGAAACGGAGAGGTTATGGTGGAGTGGTTAAAACATCTGCGGAGGGACGGATTCGCTGTTATCTGCTTCCCCCATGAGGACAGAGGTGGAACTGCAGCACAAGGGCTGCGTCTTAATTCACGATGTGGTGACAGATTAACTCAGTGCTTCAGAACAGTTGGTTATGTTATAGTCTATGGTTTTAACAGAGACGCACAGGGCTGAGGGGAAGAGCACAGGAAGTACTTATTCTATTCAGCTGCAGTGTCCTCTGAGACCAGAGAGACCAGTGGGAAAGACCAGAGAGAGGCCAGAGAGAGACTAGAGTGAGACCAGAGAGAGACCAGAGAGAGACCGACTGAGTTTAGTTTTACATTTAAATCAATAAGAGCCAGAGACAGGAGCCAAACTTAACCACCAGCTCTTCCTTTTCGGGGTTTGTCCATCTGTATACAGAGTGTTGTATCTGCGGGTGATGTGGCCCTGACAGAGCAGAGCTGGTGTGTGGTGCCCCTGATTGCCTGGACAGAGGTGGGAATTGAACCCTCGCTCCCCACGGACAGAGGCTGCTGTCATTAGATCTGTCTCTGTGATGATGAGAGCCAAGGACCTTCTCTCTCTGGAAATATTGTACCTGCACTCGACAGCAAAGATATACATGTGCATACTGCCATTTTCTTTTTCACTTTTCTGCCTCAAAAAGCTGATTTAAAGATGTGACAGAGACAGAAATAGATAAAACTAGAGACATGGAATTTATTACATAGTTCTATTGTTAAGGTTTAAAAATAGTAAGCAAGTCAAAGGAACTCTAAAGACTGAAACACCAAATCAACTTTTTTTAACTCATAAACTGCATAAGTATGTTTACAGCGCATTGTGCGCTCTGCAGAGGAAGTGATCGGCCGCAGCCTTCCATCGCTGCAGGACCTGTACGTCGCCCGAGCTCGAGGCCGGGCTGGTCGTATCACAGCCGACCCCTCTCACCCTGCACATGGACTATTCCAACCACTCCCCTCAGGCAGGAGACTGCGGTCCATCAGGACTAGAACCTCCCGCCACAAGAACAGTTTCTTCCCCTCTGCTGTTGGACTCTTGAACACTTCTTAACCTGTCCCCCCGCCCTTTATAAAGTCACTTTACTGCCCATCATACGTCACTTTACTTCACTGTACTGCTGTCACCTTACATTGTGTGCACCATGTGCACTTGTATATTGTAAATAGTAACTGTAACTCTATTTTAAATTTAAATTTATTCTTTAGAAGTGTTTTTTATTCTTATTTTTATTATCTCTTTTTGACTGTTGCACTGAGCCAAAGCAATTTCCTAGTCTGTGACCTCCTGTTACTTACGTGGCAATAAAAATGATTCTGATTCTGATTCTGATTGTAGTGCTGTCTACATATCCTGGTCATTTTTTTGACATTTTAGTTCAAATTAGATAAAATATCACTTTTAAGCCAAAAAACGCTGTGTGGTGCCCTCTCTACCTTTTTGGTGGTACTACATTTGAATTTGGTTCTGGCCTGTCCATTGACTCTGAAGTTCTCTATGACATCAGTTGTTTTGTGTGACGTCAGTCTGTCAGAGCCAGTGATATGAACCCATTCAACTCTCACACACGCCCCAGCTGCAGTTTGGAGTATTCTGGCGCCATCTAGTGGATTAAAATTAAATTACACGAGTCATTCTGAGATTATTGAGTGTGATTAGGTTCAGGTGTGTAGCTTTACAATTATCTTAGTGTGTAAACAAGGGTGGAATGAGACTTTCTGGTCTGTAAACTATTGCTTTAAGCAGCAATGACAACTGTCTGTTTTTTTTGTGTGACAAGTGAGCTGTCAATCACAGCCCAGACCACGCCCAAATCTAAGCCCCCCTTCTTGTCCCTTTTTCAACGCCCTTTTTAGAGAAAATTTTCAAATCTTCATGTGGGCGGGGTAAGGCTGAGCACAGGTGTTATGTCGCTCTTTAATTCTCTCTAGTCTCTTGCTTATCTCTGAGGTGTGCTCTGTTCTCTCTCTTTTTCCAGTCTCTCTCTGTTCTCTCTCTGGTCTCTCTCTGTTCTCTCTCTGGTCTCTCTCTGGTTCGTCTCTGCTCACTCTCTGGTATCTCTCTAGTATCTCTCTAGTCTCTCTCTAGTATCTCTCGAGTCTCTCTCTGGTCTCTCTCTCTCTAGTCTCTCTCTGGTCTCTCTCTGGTCTCTCTCTGGTTCGTCTCTGCCCACTCTCTGGTATCTCTCTAGTCTCTCTCTCTCTGTGGTGTGTCTCTGGTCGCTCTCTGGTATCCCTCTGTGTCTCTCTTTAGTCTCTCTCTGGTCTCTCTCTCTCTCTTAGTCACCTCTGTCACTCCCTCTGTACTGATGATGCCGTGGCTCTTGGCAGGCTGTGATTAGCACTCCGCCCTGGGGCAGACGCACCTGTCATTAACCACCAGCCGCACAGGTCACAGGTCGTCACGGAAACAGAAAAACCTCCAACACAACGCCATGGCGGAGACAGAGAGGATGATGAGAAATGATCCAGCAATGACATAACGTCATTATATTATATATACACTGCATATGAACTTCTGACATTACTGCTGCTGCTACACCACTACTACTACTACTGCTGCTACTGCAGCTACTACTACTTCTGCTGCTACACCACTACTACTACTACCACAACTACTGCTGCTACTACTACCACTACTACTGCTGCTGCTACTGCTGTTACTACTTGTACTACTACTACTACTACTACTACTACTACTACTACTACTACTACTACTACTACTGCTACTACTACAAATTATATGATGGCATTGTCAAGTAGTACAAATGGAAAGTCTGGCGCAGCCTTCTTTAAAAAATAAATAAATTAAACATACTGCTGTTACTACTACTGTGTCAAATCATGTATGGCTTTGTATGTTAAAGTAAGTGTTTTTAATATAATTACATTTAAATGTAATACTATTCTCCACTGGAAGCCAGAGTGGAAAGATTTTAACACTGGAGTTATGTGCTCCCTCCTTTTACATTAGCCGTGTTTCTACCGAACTTCGGGGTAATTTTACAGGGCCAGCCCCGTCGGTGTGGGCCTCCACTGCAGGAACTTCCCCCACAGGGCCATTTGTAGGAACTTTTACGAGGCCCAACGGAGTCCCTCCTCCATGCTAGGTACGCCGTTGGCCCCTGTACAGCTCTTGGTGGGGCTTGAGGTTAACCCAGCGCTGATTGGCTAAAGCTAGAGCAGGCTCTGACGCCAGCAGAAAGCACCAAAACAACCAGCATTTTAAACTCCAGCAGCATTAGCCTAGCAGACACCACTGGAAACAACAACAGCAAGATGCACGTTAAATGGACGGCTGATGAGGTTCAGGCATTGATTCAGACGGGTTTGAGGCACCACGGCAAAATGAAAGACATCAGCTTCACCTCAAAGCACCCGGGATTCATCACACTCCAAGTTGTGAAACGTTTTTTAAAAACTCAAAGACCACAACAATCAAAGGTTTGACGTAATGAGTTTCGCTTAAGCCTGGTTCACGGCAGGATAATTAGGCCGATTTTGGACCCGATTTACCCCTACGACAATCGTAAGAACACTCTGAATATCGTAACAAAAAATCTGATGGATTTTCCTGCCGTGTGTGGTGTGTTAAGACTGCGCTCATCGCTCGGAAGGACTTCGGGACTGCTCCGATCTCAATATCAGGGATATCCAACATGTTGGATTGTTTTGGCCCAATTACTCTTCGTGTGTGGTTTCCCCCGGGGACAGACGAGCGCGTTGCCATGACTGCGGCGTGTAGCCAATCAGAAGACGAGACGAGCCGGCGAGGAAACACCGTAAAAAAACCAAAACAGTCAGCGGCATGGCGCACCAGAAAGTTCGGTGGACATCAGAGATGGAGGAACAACTAGTTGACCTCTGGCAACACCGTGAATGTATGTATTACGTGTCGTGTAAAGAAAATTATCACCGAAATGACAAGGAGAGTATCTCTGGAGAAGGGCGACAGTAGCTCAGTTGGTAGAGCATTGGCCTTAAGGCCAGAAGGTCATGGGTTCAATTCCCACCTCTGCACCTTCTCCATCGACTCCCACTGATGACTGCTGTCGTTGTGTCCTTGGGCAAGACACTTAACCCCACTTTGCCCAAAAGCCCCCACTGAAAGATCAAGGCTATGCTCACACTCAGAGAGCAGCCGTCCTCCTGTGGACTCACCACCTGCAGAGGGTCAGTGAGGGGCTGGTGCTATGAGACTTGGCTGGCATCTCTGACTGCCACCCCCCTGACCCAGAAATGGATTAAAGGGTAGAAAATGGATGGATGGATGGATGACAAGGAGAGGAATTGGGCAGAAATTGCTGCTGCACAGGTAGTGTTGGCATAAGCCCTGTTCGGACGGGATTAGTACTAAATGATCAGACTGATGGGTTGTGTTTGTACGTTTACTTTGCACTCTGTCCTAATACAGTACAGACGTGTTGATGCAGCCGTGCTTGTTGGTTTGAGCGTATGTAAAGTTTCATGTCTAGCAGTGTGTGTGATGCGTTCACAGGTAGTCCGTACAAACTGTATTGTTGAACAGCACAGACAGTACGGGCCAGAGAACTGTAGAGCAGTAAAATCCACATGTATGTGTTTGTCCTCATGGTGTCTGTGGCTGCTGTGGTCAGACGAGAGTCTAGGCTGCGTGAAACGGAGAGGCCTGCACACTCTGTTTACTCTGAGTAACGCTCGATCTCGAGAGATGTTGTGAGATTTCCGGTGACCTGTGAATGCTCGGGGGTGAAATCGGTTCGTGTGTGATGTGTGTGGTTTGTGTGATTTTGCCGTGTGGCTGCGCACCACACACTGTACGGCCAAAGTGGTTAGACCCGTGATTTTTTATCTCCGTGTCTGGGGTCTCACACAGAGAAAAAATCGGCCGACAATTTTAAAATCGTCTCGTGTGAACCAGGCTTTATAAGGGCAATCAAAATTCATGACGTCGCCGAGTGGTCCTATTGCAGTGGAGGGTTAGGGTTAGGGTTCCACCCTGCTCCTTTTACCAGGAACTCCTGCGGTGGAAACGCTGCTACTGTGTGTAAAATACTTGTGTTTTAACTCTCATATATTGCAGTCTAGGGGTTGAAATTAATAACATGCTTTTTAATGATGTAAGATGCAAGTAGAGTGTGAAGAGGGCAGAGTGCCGATCCTTGTGGCACACCGACTTTCACTTTAGAATTAGGCGAAGAGTTTTGGTTCACATTAACAAACTCAAACCAATCCTATGAACAGCCTTGGACTCACAAATCCCTGTTTCTCAGTCCTAGTTCGGTCCTGGTCCAGTCCTGGTCCTGGTCCTGGTCCGGTCCTAGTCCAGGCCCGGTTCCGTCCCGGCTCAGTCCTGGTTCTTTCATGCCTCATGTGAATGCGTCTGATTATTTGTGAAGGGAATCTCCTCCGTCAGCGCTTCGCTCCAAACCGTGGCCTTGAATAAAAAAAACTCCCAATCCTCGTGTTTTTCTTGAATTCCTCGACTCCTCTGGCTTTTTGTGGCACGTAAAGAACCCGCCGCGGAGCTGAAGGGCCCCTGAA